TAATTATATTCTCATTATATTTTCGAGATTTGTCGTTAGATTAATATGACATTATGTTTTGTCAATGACAGAATATATCGTTAAAGTTCATTATTCTAATTTAAAATAAGATTCTAACTTATGATTAATCTACATATTTTTTGACACATGAAGACAATTAACTATGTTTGAGATCATAATTTATATCGAAGCATAGATATACATTATTTGATTTGATTTACTAGTTAATATTGTGTGTAAGATCTATTTATATATAAATCCTGCACGAACGAAGCCACTAAACTCAAAAAAAAAATAGAATACCGTAAGGTGACATGAAAAGTTTGTAGAGATTACTATTAAGATATATGAAAGTGACACAATTCTACAAGTTATTTTTAATTTATTAGATTTAACAACATGTAGAGACTTACTTGTCGATAGTGTGCTGAACATTATAACTAATGTCTTATCCTCAGTTTTTCTATTAGACTGTCAAAACAAATGTCAATATAAATAATGAAATCGTGTCAAATGTTGAAAAAATAACTCACGCCAGTTAAGTTCTTCATTCTCAATCTTTCACACATTTTCTTTATTATTTATTTATTCTTATTAAATAAGATGTAGACTATTTAAATCAATAATAAATAATAATAAATTTTTTATATTTATAATATAAAAAATAAAATTATTATTATTTACTGTTTAGTCAATGTGAAATAACTTCGTTAAAGTGATATATCGAACCTATTACAATTTGAACAAATAAGATAACATTCGTCACGACATATTGATAATCTATACTTATTTAGATTTGTTGTTTTTTAGAATTATTATTTTCAATAAGACTAATAAAATAGTTTTTTCAATATATTATTTAAAATATTTAATTTAAATATAATGTAGATAGGAAAAATAAAAATATTGTTTTAATTTAAATGATAATTATTTTAAAATTGTTTTTAGTATATTATGGTGTCATATAAAAGAGCTATACAACCATATGAAATCAATGTTGATACAATTAATAAAATTAATTTATCTGAAATTTGTCAAGTGTGTGGAGAAAAAAATGCAAAATTTTCTTATGGTGTTCAATCTTGTGCTTCATGTAAAATATTCTTTCGTCGAAATGCTTATCTTGATTTAGTTAGTTAAATATAAAATAAATTAAAATAAAATTAATTCGTTTTTCTTTTAAAATAGAATAAAACAAAATGTATATTTGGTGAAGAATGTCATATAACAATAAAGAATCGACATACATGTCGATATTGTAGATTAAACAAATGTTTATCTGTTGGAATGAAAAAAGAATTATTACGTGCTTCACATGGAGCTCAAGGTGGAACTAAAATGAAAGAAAAATTATTAGCTGAAAAAATCAAATCAAATGAAAAGAAAATTTCTTCAATAATAATTATTCATCCAATTGATTTACTTAATAATGATCGTTCATTATTAACTTTTGATCAATGGTCTTTATTATCAAATATAAATAATGCTTATAATAGTAGAAGTCCAATATCAAATATTAATAATATTATATCTAGTCAATCGATATATCCTCCGAAAATTCGTTTAAAAATGGCAAATGCTAATTTTATGGATATAATTGCTTCAATGTATGCTGCTAGTGAAATATTTATTAAAATAATTCCGGATTTTTCATCAATGACAAATTATTATCAAAATGTATTAATAACAAGAAATATTTTAAATTTAGGTGGTTTTAATTGTCAATTTATGATGCGTGAAACAAATATATTAAAAGACGCTGCTTATTCAAATTGTCTTTCGTCGACTTATGGAACTTGGATATTTAATGGAACTGTTCGAATTGCTGATGACATTGATCCTGATGGAACATTATTCAAATTATTATTTGTTGTTTTGGCTTTCTCGGCATGTTCTGACGTTGTTATTCCACCATACAATAAGTGTGACAAGTATTTATAATAAAAGTTTTTTTTTTCTTGAATTTTCTTTATAGACTTTTATTTTTGTTAAATCGAAAACGAAATTCTTGTCATTATCTCTATACTTCTCTTCTGATTATATCATATAAAAACGAAAAAACCTCGATGTTTTTTTTTTGAAACATCAGACAAGAATTATCACAATTTCTTCTATCGTATTAAAATATTTCTATATTGATTGAATTCTACAATAAAATAGAGAAAAGAAAGAATTTTTCCATAACTATTTCCAAATATATGATTAGAACATATTTATATGATGTTGTTAAATTGTAATTTTTAAATAACTAATTAAATATAATATTAAGTTAATATGTATCATAAATAAATTGAATTATTCATCATCTATTTCGTTCATAGTAAGCTATTCTATAAAATATCTAAACACAAGACTTTTTCAGATGTGAACACTAATCATAGTTAAAAAAAATCTATCAATTCTACACAAAAATTCTTTGCCATATTTATTACATTTTTCTTTGCTTGAGAAGAAAACATTAAAACAAATAAATACAGACAATGACGATTGTTAGACCGAATAAGTAACATTGAGTTCTATTGAGTACTTGAAAAAGAATCTGTTTTTTTTTCTCTTTAATTATTAATAGAAATAAAAATCTATATAGAATTATTTATAATTATTAAAAAGTATTGAAAATTTCTATTAGATTAGATTACATTTAACTATTTATTTGAAATATTCTAGTAATAAATAATTTATTAGTTTATTTTTATTTAGAATATCTGATTATTCTGTGTCCGATGTTTTAATTGAAACAAATTATCTTTCAATAAATACACAGTATTTATTTGAAATTCAAAATAAATATGTCGAATTAATGTTCAAATATATGGTTTATCGATATGGCTATTATGAAGCAGCCTTACGTTTTGCGGCTCTTATGAAAAATTTTCTTTATCAAAGTGTTCTCTCGGCAAATGCAACTGAAATATCAAAACATGACGATATGCTAAAAACACTCGTTGACAAAACAGAACAATTATTTATCTCATAAGATCAATTTTATGATTAAGAATCTGAAGTTAATTTTTTTGTCCAATTTATTTTTAATATAAGATTATTATTTTGTTGTATTGTATTTATTCTTATAGATATTATTTTTCTTTTGTAAAGAAATATCTTTGAATATTTTATATTGTGTAATTATCTACAAGCATATTCAAATGTCGGCTCATTTTGAACTTGATACAATCTATTTTTGATAAAGATTTAGATCGTTACAAATAGCATAAGACTAGTAGTAACTTTTATCTTTTTCAAAGTTGAATTTGATACGAGTCTTTTATATTAGTTCAGCTTTTATCAATTTTGAAAATATATTTCTGTGATTTGACGGTATTTATATTGATTTTTGCAGATCGAAAAGAGTATTACTAACAATGTGAACTTTTTCGAAAAAAAGCTTAATATCATTTTAATAGAAAATACATCAATCGTAGTATATATACATTATTGTTCGATTCTTCTTTCGAAATGAATTGGTCAGATAAACACAAAAACAAAATAAAATCTAATAATCAATATTCTTTATTTATGTTCATTGATAGACTTTTTTCAATGATAGATTAAAAAAATTGTCTGAGATAATTCTTTATTTGATACAAGATAAGTTATTAACAAATCGATTAATGATGTTCAAATTGATGTGTTTTTAATTCATTTAAGTTCAAAAAATAAAACTCATCAGTTAAAAAAGACTTCCTTACAAGTTGCCGCTAAGATCTGAAATAATCTTCAGCGATACCTAAAATTCACAACAATTTTGAAAAAAATAATTTAAGAAACGAAATCTTTTTTTAAAAGTTTATGTTAACATTAAAAACCTTAATTTAAAGTTCTTTTGGTAAAGAAAATCAATAAATATCAGATGGTAAATTATGATAGTAAATCAACATTGAATAAAAGTCACAATAAAGATCAATTGATTTTTCCCATGATCAGTACTATATAATAATGAATAGCTCCAAGATCGAAAATTTGACATTGTGATACTAACGTAACGAATATTTGAATATAATACACATTTTTTAAATCATTAATTTAAGTCTTACATTAAACTTTTGTCCAATTGTAGAATGATCTTACTCAAATATAATATTTCTCAAATTTATCGATCAAATCCACATTGTGATGAAAACATACTTTAAGTTCTCCATAATTATCATCGTTCCAATCAGTTAACTAAGTTATTATCATCTGTGGTTCACTAAAAAAAAGACTGTTAAGTAAAAGCATTAAAAAAAAACTATTCGTCTATGAAGACTTGTCTTTAAAACAAGATCAACAAAATGTAAAACCTAAAAATATTTTTCGTTTATATACTAGGAAATAATCATTCTCAACGGTCGATTAAAACAAAACAGAAAGAAAACAGAAATATTCTATCAAAAACTAGCTTAAAATCTTTCCTAGTTAAATAGACAAGACAAAATCGTGTATTCTATCAAATAGTAAATAACCAAATATGATAAATGATTGTTTACTCCATCCAGTTTTTCACATGCTGCACAATACAGTTTTTGTTAATTATTTATGACAATTCTTCTGAACTGAAATTTGCTTTCAAACCATAAAAATGTCTGTGCTACCGATTTTCTTCTTGATAATTGCAGCTGATCTATGGAAAAATAAAGAAAAAAGTTCTCCCATGAAATGCCTAATTTATCATAGGCTACAATACTCTTTAAATCTAAGTTGACCGTTAAAATAACTTTTATGAAGTATTGCGTAGAATATATAATGGACTGATTATAATTCTTGATAATTGCCTTATAAATATTCTGTCCATATCAACAATGTTGGCGTAGTAAATAATGCATGACATAATAAGTTTAATAATAACTCTCAACTTCTGTTCATAGTTAAATTTCGAGTTCATTTCACTTTGAATCAAGTAACATGAACTAATTATTTTTTTCAACGAATTCTAGTTAATGATATGCATGTCAATCTTCTATCGTTTTTCTTTTTCCTATTATGAATGACAAACTATGTATTTTTTCAAGATCCACTTTTTAATTAAATCTCATTTCTCTAAGTAAAGGTGTGTTTCATTGTCGAGATTTGATAATTAACAGTGACTTATTTTACATGTGAATATTTTCTATAATAATATGTTTCGATTGCATTCTTTTGCATTATGTTATCGTCGATAGATGTTTAATCATCTTCATATTATCTTAATGGCAATGTGACTAGTAATTTTTATAGCTACGAATATTAATTTTAGTAAATTATACTGCAAAGTAGACAATTTAACTGTTGACCTACTTGTTTGCAGTTGATGTTTCTTATATGGGAACGAAAATAACATAAGTGCTTGTGACAGATTATAATTATCCAGTAAAGATCATTCTATGGTTTTTTTCATAATTCTATCGTTCGGTTCTTTTGATATCATTTATTGCTATAATGTATTCAATATCAATTTATTGTGTTTCTGGTTTATGTTCATAGTAATCATGAAAGTTAATTGTATAATCGGTATTTTGTAAATAAGATTTTTCTGAATGTTATTTCAGTTGAAACAGATTCATCTGTATTTTTCAAAGAAAAAACTTCACTGTTTTTTTGCTCTGAAAACAGTGATCTCATGTTGAGATATTATCTTTCCACTACAAGAAAATGAATCTATTTTTTTCTTTCATGCATTATTTTCACTAACAGTTAATCATCAACCAATATTCGTTTTATCAAAGAAAGAACGAAGCAATCGATACAGAGTTAATTATGATCTACAATATGCCATTTGTGTTATGCTGATATCATCTTGGCATTTGAAATAAAATCTCTTTTCTGATTGTTTTATTGTTTAGTCTTTTTAAAATCTACACTCCAATGAATGAATTTTTCTTGGCATTTGAATTATAAAATTCTTCCTCTTTCTCTCGTTGAGAAATATAATATGTTAACAATTTGTAAAATTTTGGAGTTGTTTCAAATTTCTTTGAATTCGAAAAAATAAAAACTTTTAGATCATCTGTGCATTAAGTTTTAAGTTGTGTGCATCTGATATATGTAATAAAAAAAAAACTTCTTTTTAAATTATTTGAACGATTGATGGGATCACAAGTCTTTTATTGTTATTTTAATGGTAAAAATAAACTTCTCGGGTTTTTTCTAAGAAACAAGAATGATATATTTCAATTCAGAATATGAATGATTAATGAATATTATTTAGTGTGAGAATAAAGCGAATTTGAATTATGTCACTGACACTTTTATCAAAAATGTCTTGCTACTATTCAAAATTATCGAAAACTTGCTGCTAAAACTTAGTATAGAGTGCAAAACTATTCTGATATGGGATTAATTATCATTATATTAAGTTACAAGTTTCTAAAACCTAATAGACTTTTACTTACACGATTGAGATTGTATAAGACTGTCTTATGAAAATGCAAGCAATATGCAAGAATCATTATATGGAAACTAGTAATAATAAAACTGCAAATATTTCCTAGACTTTATTTGTTTTTTAGTTAAAAAGAATGAAGATGATCAAAAAAAATCAGATTCACATTCGATTCGGCAGAGAAAAAAAATAAAATAACATGAGGAACTTGGTCAATATAATTTATCTTGTGAAAGATATGGCATATGCAACTATATTGAGATGAATATTCTCATGGAAAATAAGTAGATGTAAGTGGTGATGCACCAATCAAGATATTAATTACCAATTATTGTTGAAAAAATATCTTTACATCTTTTAAAAACATTCGTTCTTTTAACTAAAGATAAAAAAACATTTGTTTTTTACTTTTATTAAATTTTAAGAAACTATTGAGATTTTTTTCTTGGAGAAAAAGTGAAAGACAATAAGTGACAAGAAAAGATTTCTAGTTATCGGTTTGCTTTTGAGCTGGCATTGAGTGTATCTTTTAGATCTTAGTGAGCTATGTCTATCATAAGAAGAGTTCATGTTCATGGCTTTTTCTGAATAGACCGAGCCGTTTTAATGAATTTCAGTCGTAGGACTCTACATTTGCAGCAAAGTCATGCCTTCAAATATCGATGTGAAACTTTATTCAAATGGAGATCTCAAGTAGACCAACTTGCATAAAAAATGTTCAGAATTATCAGACTAAGTTTCTCCGAGAAAGACGATTTTACAAAAAAAAAATATGCTGAATATAATATCTACGGAAAGGAGTGTACAGCTCAAAAGTCTCGTATTTTCGACATACTTAGTCTCAAAATTCTGAAATTCTTCTATTCAAACATAATCAGCAGAGCCATTAGGCTTGGGAAGACCCAAATATTTCAAACATTTTATAGATCTCATCCTAAGCTGATATTTTGTTGGCAAGAGCTTTTTGAACAGGAATTGTCTCGTATTTTTCTGAAGAGTACACTCAATTAGACGTTAGATAGTCCAAGTTTACCACTGTATCTTTTTGAAACTTTCTTAATACCATTATTAATTTCTAAGTTAATACTCGAAAAGTGATCAGGTAATCTTTTCGTTTCATGTGATAAATGGGAAATATTAATATCAAGAATTAAATTAATTGATAATAGATTTGAACTAACTGCACTGATTGCATGATTATTAGCAACTACATCCGTATTTTTATTGTCTGNAAATTTAATTTTTTTATATTTGTTTTTAGATTAATATTACATTTAATTTTTTTAGATTAACTCTTTTATATTCATGTTTTAAGAATAAATTTTTTTGTGTTTATTTTTTATGTATGTTTCTTTTGTATTGGCTTACATTTTTATTTTTGGTTAAAATAAAAATTAGGTTAACTGAGAAATAACTTAAGTTTGACTAGAAATATTAACTAAACAAAGACTCAGGCGATACCCATTAACAGTATAGGAACATCGGTTAACCGCGGTTTATCGGAAAAAATCAGCGGCATACCGCGGTAATGGGAGCCGATAAACAGGCAGTTTTCTCCGGTTTTCATGATATGGGCAATCTAATAGAACAAAATATTAAAATCGTTGTTTTTCAATACTTTTCTTAATGAATTATTCATT